TAACATATTAAATTAACCTAATTCGTTCTGGAACCTCTCTTTTAATACGATGCAAAAATAAATCTCTGTGATTTTCCGGGGCTGCTCTGAGAAATAAATCTCAAAGAACACAGTACACGTAAAAGATATCCTGAAAGTTTCCTTCTTTTACTATGTTTGTCATTTGAAAAGACAAAATCTACAAAGAGTTATCAGAAGAGATATAGACACTTGATTAATATATGATTGTGGGTGCCTGAGAAACAATCCCTGGTTACCCATTTAAATAACATTTAAAAGTACACAGACCCAAGAGCATTGAAGGCACATTGTTCGTTTTTGTTCAGTCGCCCAGTCGTGTTCAACTCTGTGACCCCATGGACTGCAGCATGCCAGGCCACCAAGTCCCTCGCCATCTCCCGAAGTTTGCCCAAGTTCATGTCCATTGCATCAGTGATGCCATCCAGCCATCTCATCCTCTGAAACCCTCTTTTCCTTCTTCCTTCAATCTTTCTCAGCATCAGGGACTTTTCCAATGAGTCAGCGATTCACATCAAGCAACCAAAATATTGGCATACTGAATAGTGAAGGCATAGTCCACATAAATATTTGCACACAAATGTTCACAGCAGCATTGCTCATAATAGCCAAAAAGTGGAAACAAACCAAAATGCCCATCAACTGATGAATGGATAAATAAAATGTGGTATTTCCATACACTGGAATAGCTATCACTCATAAAATGGAATGAAGTACTGATACGGGCGACAACATGGATTAACCTCAACAACACTACACAAAGAAGTTACACACAAAAAGCCACATACTATATAGTTTCATTCATATGAAATGTCCAGAACAGACAAATCCACTGATACCAAAAGTAGACTAATGGTTGTCAGGGGCTGGGGCAGTGGTTGGGGACAAGGAAGGGTATTGGGGAGTAAATGCTACCTGGTATGGGGTTTCACTGTGAAAATGTTCTGGAATGAGGCAGAATGACATAGTAGTGACAGTGTTGATGGTCGCACAACCTAAGATACTAAAAATCACTTACCAAATAAGGAGTTTGTATTTTCTGTGTTATAAAATGGTCTATTCTAGGACACAACAAATAAATTCAACATAAAGCACCAAAAAGTTTTCTGGTGGACACAGCATCTCTGCTGTCAAAAATAACCTTCTATGTTGTAGGCAATGGTATTAATCAGTAAATCAAGGGGGCAAGCCCATCCAACCTGAGCAAACTGTGCTTAAATAGCATGCATTGCACAGTTTATTTCCAGACCAAGACAGTGTAAAGTAATATAACAAAAGGCAGACCTTTCACTTCTGGGAACAAACTGACCCTTTACTGTGCAACAGGGAGTCAGTGAGGTCAAAACTATTTTCACAATAGTGATAAAATGTTATTTATGTCAACACAATGTGTTCATCATTGCTATTTTCAAATGACTCAATAAATAATTTGCAAAATGTTTCCATTTTTATATCAAATGCAGTAAATACCAATAGTTTTAACCCACATAAACAAAAGTTCTTTGGGTAATTTCAATGAGTTTTAAAAATGTAGAGCGGAAGACAACATCTGAAAGCTGTGTTAGGTGAGAAAGGAAACAGATTAAGAAGTGTGCTGACTGTTTATAATAGCCAGGACATGGAAGCAACCTAGATGCCCATCAGCAGATGAATGGATAAGGAAGCTGTGGTACATATACACCATGGAATATTACTCAGCCATTAAAAAGAATTCATTTGAATCAGTTCTAATGAGATGGATGACACTGGAGCCCATTATACAGAGTGAAGTAAGCCAGAAAGATAAAGAACATTACAGCATACTAACACATATATTTGGGATTTAGAAAGATGGTAATGATAACCCTATATGCAAAACAGAAAAAGAGACTCAGATGTATAGAACAGACTTTTGGACTCTGTGGGAGAAGGCGAGGGTGGGATGTTGAGAGAACAGCATCGAAACATGTATATTATCTAGGGTGAAACAGATCACCAGCCCAGGTTGGATGCATGAGACAAGTGCTCGGGCCTGGTGCACTGGGAAGACCCAGAGGGATCGGGTGGAGAGGGAGGTGGGAGGGGGGATCGGGATGGGGAATACATGTAAAACCATTGGTTGATTCATGTCAATGTGTGACGAGACCCACTACAGTGTCGTAGGGTGGTTAGCCTCCAACTAGTGAAAATAAATGAAGAAAAAAAAAAGAAGTGTGCTGAAATTCACCCTAGGCCCTGAAGGTTCCCACGCCCCCTCCCAAAGGAAGATGCAGCTGCCCAGGACAGAACTGACAACACACAGAGGCCCCCATCCTGGGCTCCGAGCATCATCACCTTCCTAGAGGTGATTCATCCTGGAGAACTTTCTCCAGCAATCCACACACGGAGAGAGCAGTGGAGAGTTGGCCTTGGAGGGAGCCGCTCCCAGGAGACGGAAGGCAGGTGGGGCTAGGTGGACACCAGAGAGGCAATGCATGCGAATTTATCATGTATGGACCACCTGCACTGACCAAAGAGGTTGTATAGTTGCAGGGATAAGGGAACACTGGCCAGGTGGGAAGCATGTACCTAACCTGGAAATAGGCAGGAAGTGACAGAAGTGGCTGGAGGGAGCAACCACACCGTCTGTCATCATGCTAAGTGAACGTCTTTATTTCTTTTTCTTTCTTTTTTTTTTTTTAGTTCTACCAGTTTATTGCTACCAACCCATCTCCCTCCACCCTCGCGCACACATGCTCAGTCATGTAATCCCATGGACTTCAGCCCGCCAGACTCCTCTGTCCATGGATTTTTCCAGGCAAGAATACTGGAGTGGGTTGCCATTTCCTTCTCCATAAGTGAACGTCTTTAAAAGGTGCATGAGTTGGAGCACCATGGTGTCCACAGTCAGAGGTGGGGGAGAAAAAAGAACCCAGGAGAGACACACAGAATCCCGACTGGAGGGCCAGGAGCTGAGAGAAAAAAGTTCTTCAAAAGGTGCAGAGAGATCCATGGGGTCAGTGCCACAGGCTCAAATCCCATGGATATGTCCTGAAGAGTACATGCTCCATCACATTAAACCAACAATAGAAATATCAGTGATCAATGCCAAATGACCAGCTGGTTTCCGCTTAATCGGGGCCCTGACTGATTGGGACCTGGCTGCTTATCAAGAGATTTCACTGCCACTCAGCTCAGTTATGAAGTCTGTCATCACTTGACAACTACTGTTCGGAGCAATAACCACAGGCTGTGAGCTACACTCAACACCAGAGTTTGTATCATGAAGAACCTGCCCGTATCGGGCTCCTAGTGGAGGAGACAGCAAATACTTCCAGGGGTTGTCCTGCCCTTGGATTTCAGGGGTGTCCTTGCCTTTTTGGAGTCCCATACGAAATGCTAATCTCTCATACTCTTCATCCCATTGATCCCCTTCCTCTCCCTCCATGCTCACCTTCCACTCTCTCTCCTCACCCCAAGCCTCTGTGCACAACTCTTTTTCTGATGACCTGTTCCCTCTTCCCTCACGGCCCTCAGTAATGTTCCAGGGACACAGTGTGGCCTGTAACTGCCCTTCTTCAGGACTAATCAGGCAAATGATTTATAGGGCTGATCAGTGCTAAAAGAAAACAGGGGGTCTCTCACTTCAGAAAATTAGCAAGAACCACGAGGCAAGGAGAGCAGAGCATTAGACCAAGCCTGGGGCCCTTCGAGGCTGCTCACGTGCACCCCAAAAGCCAGCCCGCCCTCTGCGACATGGAGACAGGAGTGAGCTTACTGACCATCAGCCCAGGGCGGAAGAGAGCCATCAGTCTGTGACCCCTTAGCTTGTCATAAGCAGGGGATGGGCTCTCATCCCTGACTGTCCCCAGCGGGACCCAGAATCTCACCAACACCCCATAAAGCAAATCACTAACACTTGTCAGAGCAGACATTGCAAATGAAACTTAACAGTTAAAGAAAAGCAAGGCTCCTGAATGCTAATTTTAAAAACCAAACTGAAGTTGTAAAGGGTGCTTCATGACCACAAAACTACACTCTGAATCACAAAAGCCTGCACAGCAGGCCTGGTCTGGGGACAGGTGTGGTCAGGGCAGCGCGTCCTCGGGGGGATACTATCAGCAAACAGAGATGAAACTGAAGGGGTGCCAGCTGTGCCCAGGTTGTAGCCGAGAGGATGCCTCCCCTCGCCCCTAAGATAGCCTCTCTAAGTCCGGAAGGAAGGAGGCTGTTGCTCCGGACTCCCCTCTCTTGGCTTCTACTTTCCTGAAAGATCACTGAAGTCAGGAGGCACTCCTCTGAAGTAGGGTATTGTATCAAAGACTAATCAGCTGAAACCATAGCTGGGTTAACTGGCAAAGAGCTGAAGAGCCCCAGGCAAAAGTATAAATGGGGAAAGAAATGGACCCAAAAAGGCAGGGAGGCCACACAATCGGAAGAGTAATCACCTGAGGAGCATCTCTCAGTCAAGGAGAGACTGGAGCTGGCAAGTAAATCCCCCAACTTCCTGGTGCCATTTCCTGTGGCTCACACCCCACCCCCGACCCTGTGCCCCCAACCCCAGCATCCAGTGAACCACAAGCCAGAAAGCAACTGAATCCCAGGGTGAGAAAATCAGAAGTCTGATGAGTTCGATCATAATGAAACAATCCCAGAATAAAATACTGCCCACAGCAGTTCAAAAAAGGTGCCCTCTTTCCCATCCAAATGGAGACAGAGGGCATCACTGTGTCATAGAAGAGACAATGAAGGTGCACAGGCCACATTCTACCGAAAAATCAAGGGAAGAGTCACATAGGCCTTCAGAAGGCCATCAGCAGCAAGTCATGGCTCCACAACACAAACAAATCAGGAAGAAAGGGGATGGTTTGAAAAAAGATGCAGTCTCCCAGTCCCAGGTGAGAAGATGTGTCCAGCGGGCAAGTGTTGGAAGAGGAATGGGACCAGTGAAGGAGGCAAGAGTTCCCTGAATCTGGCCAATCGATGCACCCCTGACAAATGAAGCCGAAACCACGCAGGCCCTAATGAAGGCTACCGGCCACGAGGTGGCGCTGTTGCACAGCCAGCCAATCGGGAAGGAGAAAGAGCAGGCACTCCTTGAGAAATTGAAAATGGACAACCAGAAAACCCAAGACCTGGAGAAAAAAATTAGAAAAAGATCGTCTAAAATTTACATTTGCCACCTAAACAGGAGAGCCACGACTCCTGTTCTGAGCACAGGATGTTAAAAGAGCTCTTGTCACAGAGGAGGTGGGACCTGCCAACTTGAGACATGTTTTAGGACAAACACACCAAGAAAAAGAGAGACTCTCCAACAAGCTGTGTCTCTTCAAAAAGTTCTAAGATGTTAAGCAGTCTGCCAGAAACTTCCTGGAAGATGCCCTCGACAACCAGAGGCTCCTGTGGTCTGTCCAACCATCAAAACAGGTGAAATCTGGCTCCCCAGGCCAACTGGGGGCGGGGGCTCTCTCCCCCAGGACCCCGGCCTGGACTGGAAGCCCCAACAACCACTCCCAGGGGTCACCTGAGGCCTCTAGTGTGGCACCCACCTCCTGGCTGGTTCAGCTGCGTCCCACCACAGATGCAACAAACCCTTCTATTCTAGGGAGCTGGATGCCACAGGCTGCCTGTCATTTCCACAATTTCCATGGGCACACGGAGACAAAGACACCCACGCCACCAGGAAGACCTCCTGCACCCCCTTGCATCCTCCCACCTATGGTTCCTCTCAGACCTACTAAGAAAATACAACCTGTGCTCTCCCCCTCCCCCCACCCAGTAAGAACTTCCTTTTGCCCAAGAGAGTCTACGCAGACAACAGTCTGAGGTTTGGGTTTCAAACAACTATCTGACCCCTGTAAAGACCACTGGCTGAGCTGTTTCTCCCCACCACCAACAGTGAGACAGCCCATGAGCCCCTCCTAGCCCTTCCCTGCAGGAGGTCAGCCTGAACCGAGTCCGGCCTGCAGAGGAAGCCCCTACATCTTGTCCTGGGCTCCTCCAAGGTCTCTTCTGGTCACATAGCTGTGCTCGGTTAAAACCCTTCACTTTTGCAGATCTCTGTAGAAGAGCCATAGTGTCATAGCATCAGAGGGAACCAACTGGATTCCCACAAACATGGCCAATCCCGGGCCAACCCCATCATCATCTTCCTCAGCCATTCTCCCTGAATCTTCCAAGTGAGAATTCTAAGATGGGACCCACCCCCCAGCCCCCACCCTGTGGAGACTGGGCATAATCCAGCAACGGCTCTGATGTCTACATAGCAAATCAGAGAGCTCCACACTTTTTAACTATTCACACCACAATCCTTGGTACAGTCTGATCAGTGTGAAGAGGTGTCATCTGCAATTAAAGCCAAGACTGATAGCCCTAGCTCCACAACTACTTCTCACATGGGAAACCAGAATTCTGAACCCACACATCGGTGATGATCTGCAACATTGACTTGGTCTATAACACGCAGCCCTCAATATCCCAGTGGCATCTTTAGAGACTTCATGATAACGGCCACATTCACTCCGCAGAGAACCACCTCCATGCTTTAAAGCACCCAGCAACATTGCCAGGGTACACACATCTTTCCCAATGTACCTCTGTGTACATTACCTCTGTCACGGCACGGCCGTGATGTCACAAGGCACTAGCTGGCATCTTCATTATCAAACTGCACAGGGACAGCTGTGCAGACAACCATCCAGGTATACACAATGGGGAGAGGGACTCAAATGGCCACACTCAACGCTACTGACATGCACCTCCCAGAGACCAACTTAATGCCAGTTCTTATGCCTGGGGTCTTTGTCAAAACCCCCAAGTCCCACAGAGTGCAGAAGTAACTCAAGGCAAAACCCAGCACTCAGTTCCCTCACCAGAGGTGCTCCTCGCTGCACCGAGCATTTCCAAAACTTGCCTCTGCTGCCTGGTACCAGACATCACAGTCCCCACAAGGAGGGAATCGCAGGCTGGCAGACCTGCAACCGAAGGACTGCCCGAAGCAGGCCACACATGAGCATTCAAACAAAAAACTTCCAAAGCTTGGAGGAACATTCTTCACACCTGAGCAGCAACACATCCTGGGGTTTGGAATTCCTGGGGAAGTGCTGGAGTAGCTATACAAAAAATTAAGCAAGAAAAAGAAAGCCTGATTCGACTATGGAGGACGAATCATCATTTAAAAAAAAAAAAAGCCAAAGATCCTCATGGCATCCAGGATGCTCCAGCATGAGGGAACCGCAAGTGCATGGCGCTTTTACATCTCCTCCTAAATAGTGGGGACCTCAAATGCTTCCAATTCATATTCCACACCCCTTCCCTGCTGGGCCTTCTCCTTAAAACCCTTCTCCTCTGGTCTCTCCCCTGCATAAGCAACTACCACTTCTGAAGTTTGTGGTTAAAAAGAAAATGTATTCACCACACAAGGTTATCTCAAGACCTTATTCCCCACAGAATTATTTTAATAGTAAAGGAGTTAGGAATTTAGAGCACTACGTATAATGCTCTAAAAAAACTCTTTGGATTTGAGTAAAAAGAAATACAATAAACACCAAGTTCCAGCCCATGCGGATACCCAACCAGATTTAGGAACCAGTAATTCACATTTAAAAGGGCTAGGGTTTAAAAAGTCTGTGGCCGTCACCTTTGAAAACATTTTTGCCGTGCATTCATTGCACCCTCCAGACGGTGCACAGAAGTAGGAAGAGACTACCAAGGTTCAGAAAAGTAAGCTTGCCAGAGCACGGAACAGCCGCGTTCTGAGAGCTCACTCCGCAGAGAATGTTGCAAAGCAGTAGTTCTCAACCAGAGGCAACCTTGTCCCCATCTCTCCTCCCTGAGGATATCTGGCAATGTCTGGAGACATTTTTGACTGTCACAAATTGGAGCGGATGCTACTAGCATCTCATGGGGAGGGCTAGGGACGCTGCTAATCATCCTACAACGCACAGGGCAGGACACCGCCCGCCGTGACAAAGAACAATCCAGCCCCAAGTGTCACGATTTCAGAGGCTAAGAAACTCCAAACCAAAAGTCACTTGAAATCCCCGAGGCATCCACTCTTGAGCAGCTTATTCTGGAGACCGTCTCCCTGACAGAGGAAACATATTGTACCCAAAGACTCCAAGCTTTGCCGTTTTGAAGCGGGGGGGGGGGGGGGGGGGCCTCAACAGCCCCTGATGGCCAATCGCGACCACTCTCCTTCACCCCACCCTGCAATGCCAGGCACCCAAGGATACTCAGGTCAGAAACTCTTTTCAGAGTGTATTCCAAAACTTTTAAAGACACTTCTAAATAAACAGAAACCCTGCTCAAAACAAGCTTCAGCACTTACTACCTCATTTAAACTTCATAGTCATCCTGTCAGGTCGGGACTCAAAGTCACTGCGTGACAGAGGAGGAGCCTAAAGGTTCAAGCAACTTTTCCAAGGCGACACAGCCGGCGAGTGGCAGAGCCGCAGGCCTGGGGGCCTTAGGGTCCCGAAGCCACGTGGAAACTTGCGGAAGGATCCCAGCCCACGGCGGTGGGGGTGGGGGGGGGGGTGTGGGGGGCACTCCGACCCCAGCCTGGCTCCCACCCAGCTCGCACCTCCTCAAGTGGCCGCCCTCCCCTGACTGGTAGGTAAAAGCCTCAGAAGCGCCCCGCCGGCCCTCTCGCACCCCCCACCACGGAGGGCGGCTCTCGGCGCAGACGCGGAGGCAGAACGTGGACGTAGGGACGCCTTGTCGTTGAGACACTGACGTGGGCACGCAGCGTGGGGCGTGGGCACGCAGCGTGGGGCGTGGGCAGCGCCTGCTCCCCAGGGCCGGCACTGCGTCTGCAGAGAGAACACGCTGTCCCGACCTTCCCCGCGGTGTGGGTCTCCGCAGGCGCTTCTCTGGCTGGCCGCTCCTTTTCCACTGCAGCCACGCCTGCCTGTGGCCCCTGTCGGAGCTACTGGTTCATGGAGCAAGTCAGCGCCAAGGCCCCTCACTTGTGCACTTAGGGTCCCCCAAACTTGCCTGCTGGCTCCATCCGCCAGGAGCCTTTCTGTGCTCCTGGGAGGCCGGAAGCCAGCCAATACCTAGAAGTCAATGAGCAGTGGCGAATCCCTGAGGTTTCCTTATTTTTCCTTCATTAAACTTCTCGCTTCCCTCAGTTTGTCTCTGCTTTTGTTTCACAGGAAGAGGTTGCTTGTGGACGAGGCGGGCTAGCGGTCCTTCACGGGAAAACTTCACTTTCCTCCTCTGGCTGGGAATGAAGCAGCACATTCATGCCCCTGGGTTCGTCCTGTGTCTTCACTTCCTGGTGGTCGAGCTTTAATTTGATCACGCGGTTCCTGGTGAAAACCACCCAGCAGGGCACCTTTGCATCCAGAGGCCTGTGACAGTCAAGAAATGGCATTTGGAAAAACTGTTCAGAGGCACATTTTTTTCTTCTACTTTACATGTATTCAGATCTAAAATTTTTGTTTCAGAAAACAATAGCCAACCAGATTTAATGGATATTACCCCTTTGCCCTATGTGCACCAGATCAGTTTTTTAAATGGGTAAACGTTATTCTAAAGCTCACCCACCACCACTACCGTGCTATTCCTTTCTGTAACCCACCCCTACTTTGGGACAATCCCTATATGAGTCAACAGAGCATCCTTTCTCTGGATATTTCTTACTGGTATGGGACACTAGTGTAGCCAGAAATCAGTATGTTATACCTGCCCAGTGAGTTCTGACAACTTACAGAAAAGGCATTATATTGCCCGTATCTAGACCATAATGGACTCATTCTAAAACAGCGCCAGCTCCTTTTCTTGACTGAATATCGGATCCCTGCAAATGGGCAAGGGTGGCTTTTTCCATTTCAAACTGGATGGGATGAACCCTGCCATCTGACGGAGGAGAAACAGGCCCAGAGAGAACTGAACACACAAACAGGCCCAGAGAGAACTGAGATCACAAAGTCAGTGGCAAGGTAGGGAATAGACCTGAGCTCTTGGCCTGGGCCAAGGTGCATTCATGATATGGTGACATCGTCAGAACCTTCTTCCTCTTCATCCCACAGAGAGTGGGCTCTGTGGACGGGGCCCTCCTTCCCCACTGCACTCAGCCTGGAGAGGAGCCAGCCAGTTACAGGAAGCTGTGATCTGAGGCTCTCAGCTGCTAAAATTCCGCTTGAGGGCATCCTG